CCTTTAAATGCAATAATTAACTTGCAGAAGGAAAAAAAAAACAGATCCCAGCTACAGTGTGTGTGAAAGTAGCAGAACATAAAGAAGTGCTTCTTTAAAACTGTACTCAGTGCTGAGAAACACACACAAAGGTCCATGTATCTTTATGGAGAGTTTTTCTTCCCCTCCTGCTCTCAAATATCAGACCTCTCAAGTGGCACAAAACCATAACAACAACACCCCATGAATGTGCTAGTCATTCCCGACTCTAGGGGGCGGTGCTCATCTCCATTTCAAAGCCAAAGAGCCAGCGCTGTCCGAGGATGTCTCTGTGGTCATGTGGCCAGCATGACTAAATGTCAAAGGGGCACGGAACGCTGTTACCTTCCCACCAAAAGTGGTTCCTATTTTTTCTACTTGCATTTTTATGTGCTTTTGAACTGCTAGGTTGGCAAAAGCTGGGACAAGTAATGGCGCTCACTCCGTTATACGGCGCAAGACTTCATTGAACTATTACCACTCCTGTCCTTTAAAAGGATACGTTAATACTTCTTGCTAAAATGGTAAACAGTTATGCTCTGATTTTTAAAGAACTTTATCTCAGGTTAGTTTTTCTATATACGGAGTCAAAAAAGTTATGTCAGTGACTCCATTACTAACCCTTCTCTTCGGCATAAAGACAACCCCTCCCTTTCCTTTAGATGCATTTATTTGTTCATTTCCTACAGGAATTTGAAAAATCAATGAAAACGTTCACATTAATCTTGTAAAGTCTGTGAAAGGTCTTATTATTTAACAAAGGTCATTTATAACTGTCAAGTGTTTTCCCCTATAGTGATTTTCTGACAATGCTTTCTCTCTTCATCCACCCACCCATCTTTCATTCTTGACAGCCAAAGAAACTTGGATTTTCACATTTTGGAAACTTAAGAAAAAAGAAGTTTGATGAATCTACGGATTATATTTGCCCTATGGATACAAGTATAACCAATGGCACTCAGAGGAGTTATGGAACATACAGAGTGCATAACGCCCTCCCTGACAAAGAATTAGACAAACTGGATCAGGTGGGCCAGGGGGACTGATACACTCACTTCTCATCCTCTTTGATGTATTCTGGAGCTTACAGATAACCTTTTATAATTTAACTAAAGTGCATAATGCATCTGCATGTCTTTAGTGAATGTATTAGGATGAAGCTTGAAGAATCTTTAAAATATCACTTGGAATCCCATCTCCCCATTTGCAACTGTTCATCCTACTCATCTTCTCGAGCCCTTTTTCAGGAAAAGAAAAAGCTTTACACAACAGTTGTAGCTGACATTCAAGGCACCTAAAATTGAGCATGATTGCTCTCCGAACTGCTGTGGCAGCTCAGAGCTTTTTATATTTCCTTTACAATGCCCAACAAATAATTTTTAACATTTTGTATTAGCTTTTTCATGTCCACAGTGGTAAGAATGATCTATTTTATTCTTGACAGCACAGCTGAATTGTATATTTTTATTAAAATATGTTCTTTTAATTGTGCAGCGTCTGCACCATAGGGGTACATACAATAGAACATTAAAATATAGGCCTAATGATGGATCTCTTCTTAAATAAAAAAAATATATGAGAATACAATTTCTTGAAGAAAGCAATAAAATATTTACTTGGGAAAATGTCTCAATTGTTTTTGTTGTAATTATTATTTTTGCGGTTGAATTATGCTTTCAAAAGGTGCTTAGACTGATTTTATAAATTGCTGTTCCAAGAAACACTACATTGAAACATGTGTAAAGTAATTTTAAAAAGCCTGAAAAATGGAGTAATTGGAGTTTTCTGCAAGATATAAGATAGCAAACCAAACTTCCATTTACTCTGATTTTGGAGTCAAACTGATCAGAAAAATTATGGTAATATCACATGATTAACTGCAAAAAGTATTTTTTTCATATGCATGATTTACTACATCTAACACATTCCATTTTTCTCTCATTTAGAATGTAATTATTTTTCCATTTTGCTTAAAGCATGTAATTTGTTCAGTATGTGTGTGATATATACACAATTGGAACTATTTTAATGTTCTGTTTATTTTTAAAACACAATTTTCAGTCAAACTCCTGGAATTTCTTAAAATTAAAGACTCATAAAGTATAGATTTTTCCTCACATTTTCTTAGCCTCCTAACTTTGTGTTGAGCCTCTTTTTGTTTCAAGCTCTTCTCAGTGAGGATAAAGGATCTGTCTTTTTTACAGGAATCAGTTCGTGTACAGAAAAGCTTCTCAGCATGCATGCATGTAATACCACATAGTAAATGAAAATTAAACTTGGAATTTGCATCTTTTAAATATTATGATTCCTGACAACTTGTCATTTGGAGTTATATGCTATTTCACTGCCTATCTGAAGCAGTCATAGTTAGAGTTTGGAAACCACAGAACCGCATTGTTTGAAGACCAATCTGTCGTGTCCTGATTCATTTAAAGCAGTATTTCTCAAACTTGGCAAATTTAAGATGTGTAGACTTCAACTCCCAGAAATTTCCAGCCCAAACATTGATTTAAAACAAGTCATCAAAATTTAGTTGAATATCCATGAACACTAGTTTGGTATGGAATATAGAGCTGATTAACATTCAAGGAATTATCTTAGAGTCATATTAATAAGTATATAAGTTTGCCAGCTTCTGCTTTGTTAGAGAAACTATTGCAGAGATTAGGCTGTCTTTGTCTGTTAAAATGGTCATTTTAATGGATGGAAAACTATGCTCTTACCTGTTCTACCCCAAGTGTTAATCCTTAAGGCTTGAAAGAATCCCTAAACATATGCAGTCAATTGTATGATTTGCTAGTAGGCCTATTTGAGTGTCATTTAAGGTGATTTGTATANGTGGTTAGAATTAAATGTTAGCAATTCTGTGGAATTGCTAACAATACCACCAGAGATTTCCTAAAACATCTGGCACAACATCTTATGCTGTTTCTATTAATTAAATATGCTTGGGCTTAATAATAATAATGTACTAAGTATAGTACTTTCCAATGAACACCTGGTGCAGGCAAAATTAATCTGTCGGCACTTGGCATATATTAGTTTTACACCCGGAGGCATATAAGAAGGTAAGGAGGCTACTCAAACTATAATTCTTCCTGGCTACCTCACCATCCTCCCATCCACCTCTGTTTGCAATCAATAGCATCCAGCTTTTCATGGGAACCAGAAGAAAAATGTTTAATTTTCACCAAAGGAAGAGCTATAAACAAACATTTTGATATGTAGTTGGGAAGATGGTGTAGAAGTATAAACAGCTGCTTTTATAGTGATTTCACACAAAAGGAAAGGCAAATAAATATAAGTCAACCAACCTGATTAGCAAAAAGGAGATAACATTTTGTTTTATCGGTAGGGTCCTTTGTGATATGGCGGATCAGCTGAAGCATTGGAGTAATTCCTATCAAATCAAAGCCAATGAAGTAATGTTTTTTTCCATAACCCAGAAGCAGAACCATAACATTTTGTTATTACCCACATCCTTGTCAACTATAAAACTAGGTGGGCATTTGTGTGAACATGAAAGGCATACAAAATAGAACAAATAGATAAAACAGTCATTCCCAAGATTCAAGAATATTATTTAATAGGTTCTCTAAGAGGATATCTTTTTTCTCCTCCTTTTATATTCAATGATTTTAGTCTTATACTATTTAATTTTACATTCAGCTTCTGAGCCATAGGTTCATGGCTAGTGACAGAATATTAAATTATGTTTAACTATAAAGGAGGATCTGTAGAAAAGAAAAGTAATCTTAAAGATCTCAAAAGAATGCCTAGGCTCATAATAAAAATGTAGCTTTTCAATAGCCAGAGTGTCAAATTGACTAGGATTTCATGTCATATTCAGCACTTCAAACTGGATACAAAGATAGCTTATTAAGCAATATTCTAGTTAAGGTGAAGTACTCAGGCATTATTAGAAGTAAATTAAGCTGTGCATCAGAGATGACATATCTTCTGTTCCATACTAAGCCTTGGTCAAGTCCTCTGCACTTACTCTTTTTTAATAGAGGAGAGAAGGTTCCTTTTAGAGCATATGTTATAATCAGGAAGTATATAGCTTTTTAAAAGACATTATTCAAACCCCATTATCGCAGAAACAAGGAATACCTACCTGTTCCCCCAGCAATCATCCCAAGGTGCTTAACAAACTTTGTCTTTGCTTCAGACTTTTTATCCAATTTGATAGCAAATTTACCTGTGTAAAATTACAACAGTCAATTCCAACAAAATTGAACCACATCAAAGCTCTGAATCACAGCTTTATACACCGAGATGGGTTACTCCTGATTTGGCCCACATCAGGCAAACCGGTAGTGGCGGTGGCGGAAGGCTCCACCCACCTGCTCAGACACTTCTGCGTATGTGAGCGCGCCCAATCCGGTAGTAAAAAGATTGGCAACCCACCATTGGTATACACTACTGTATATTAATTCTGCAATATTATATCCATTTCTAAGAGTAAAAACCTGTACAATGCTAAAGGCCTTCCCTCTCATTAGCAGACTTAATCTAAGTATATATTTGGAACTAGCTCTCTAAATAAGCCACAATTGCCTGAGCTCATACAAAACTAAATATTAATCCACAAGTGTACAATCTGAGTCTCCAGAGCAGTTTACAGCTACTGGGAGCTTTCTTGTGACATTTGAAACAATGCTACTAAATCTGAGTTGCAATATGAACAACCTTTTGATGGTGGCACACAGTTATAATGTTCTGTAAGCATTTGCTACCATTATAATAGAGCCATGATGGCGAACCTATGGCACCCGTGCCACAGGTGGCACACACAACCCTCTCTGTGGGCACACCAGCCATGGACCCAGCTCAGCTCCACTGCACATGCACGCCTCCCGAACACCTGCTAGCCATCAGGTCACTGCTATACGTGGGTAGCATGCAGGCAATGAACACATGCATGCATGGGGGCATAGTGCATGCACATGGGGGTGCTCTCATTGCATTTTGGGGCCTCATGCAGCACCCACATGCCCCATTTTGGGCCTGGAAAGTCTCCTGCACCAACCTGGAAGCCAAAAATGGCGAGGGGGAGGCGGGGGCGCATTTGTGGGAGGAGCACATGTATTACAATATGGGGGCAGGTGTGCACATGCGCATGCTTTCGGCACTTGACAACAAAAAGGTAAGCCATCCCTGTAATAAGAGTTATAATGTTTTGTAAATATTTCCTCGTATTCTGTAAGTATTTGCCACTTGACAANCACGGTGGCGCAGTGGTTAGAGCGCAGTACTGCTGCCTGCGGCTGCCTGCAATTTGGCAAATCAAATCTCACCCAGCTCAAGGTTGACTCAGCCTCCCATCCTTCTGAGGTGGGTAAAATGAGGACCCAAATTGTTGGGGCAATATGCTGACTCTAAACCACTTAGAGAGGGCTGTAAAGCACTGTGACGCGGTATATAAGTCTAAGTGCTATTACTATTTCTCATTTTCTAATGTATCTGATTGTAGATGTGGCTTGATTTTTTTTAATTTCCAGACAATGTTAAGCCAAGATCAGATGCTAAACAACGATCAATTTTTAACATCAACTTTTGAGGATTGGAGATGAAGATGCCACAGGAGTAACACTTAAGTTCTTTCTTCTGTTGTGACAGAAACCTGGTGCAGGCTGGATGCTAAACCTAAAAATGTATCATTTTCTTTGCTAATTAAAATATGAAAAAGTTCAATGTGCTTTTTAAAAAAACATATACACAGATAAACACTCTGGTCTAGGTAGTTAAGACATGCATTTAAAGAACTATGCAATTTTTCTAGAAATTTGGAAATCAAAGAGCTGTTGATCGCTTACTTCAATCACTATGAGCACATTTAATAGTGATCCTTTTTCTATATTTTGTAATTTTAAGATTTGGTTATGCAATGGAACTGCAATAGACTTCAAAGCTGTAGCTATTCTTTATTGTCAGTGTAGTTTATGCAATGATTTATATTGGATCTGAACTATGGCACTGAAAAAGTGATTCCTTGATGTATTAAAAATGTGTTCACTGGTTCAAAAGATAGTCATGATCAAGAGGACCGTAACTCCTGATGACTCCATAGACACATCCATGCAGCTGACTTTGAAGCAGTTTTGAAATCTTTTGCCATTGCTTTTTCTTCATTTTTTTAAAATGAAGAAACTCAGTTTTAAACTGGGCTAGTCTACAATCTCAGTATTCCCTGGTGTTCTCCTATCCAAGAATTAATCAGGTCTGGTCCTGTTTGATTTTCAAAGCTGGACAATATTAACCCGGTGCTACCACCAACTTACATACTCACTGTTTTCTTGAGGACTTTTGACTAGTTGCTAGGAGTATCAACTACTGAGTACTAGAAGCTCCCAATATTTGATGAAGAAATCATTCCTATCCTCTTTGTAACTATTTGTGTCTTCCATCTTGCTAATTTTGAACTATACATCGGGTTAAGCGGTGACAGGTTAACAAAAAACGTCCATTAGCTACCCTGTTTCCCTGAAAATAAGACCTCTGGATAATAAGTGCAATCAGGCTTTTGAGCGCATATGCTAAAAAAAGCCCTCCCCCCCAAAAAATAAGCCCTCCCTGAAAACATTGCAACACAGCAGCAGCCATGAGGTAACCACATTCATGACCTCCTGCACCTCCAAAATAATAAGATCTCCCCAAAAATAAGGCCAAGCGCTTATTTCAGGGGTCAAAAGAAAATCAGATCCTGTCTTATTTTCGGAGAAACACGGTATTTGTTTATATAACATTTCATTGTTGCAGTGTGATAGAAACTATGGAAAAGTCAGTGTGTTTGTGCTTTGTTCAAGGGTTTAAATGGGTGTATTAATTCATGCAACACCAAAAATGTGTCTTAAATACATTGTAATAAATTCTACATTTCATTTGAGTAACAAATTCAGAGGAAATACACAACAGCATGTTGGCACAGGCTTTCACAGCTGGCATCAATGAAGCAGTGGCTGGCTGGGGAATTCTGGAAGTTAAAGTCCATAAGTCTTAAAAGTTGTCAAGATTGGAAACCCCAATCCTAGGCCATAGCCATACAGCCAGAAAGCTCATCACTGCTTTATACACAATAGCCTTGCAGATAACAATACCCAGCTAAAAACTAAACATTCTTTGAAATATTCTATAGATTGGAGTTAATTGGAAGCATGAAAAACAATGAAGGGACCAAGCAAATGCCCAGTTGCACTTCTTTCTCTGTCCTCCCACTTATTTTTCAGTGCAGAAAATTATTGAAGTCATTTACCAACTATTAAATTTTAATATTTCCTTAAATTATAGTAATTGAGAGAAAAATGTTTTGTCAGAAAAGAACCAACCTCTTCAAACTTGTCAGTTTTCAATCCTAAAAACACCTTCAAAATTCATAGCTAAATAGCAAGATTTTGTTAAAATGTATGACAATTTGGGAAGGGGGGCTTGTATTATAATTTATAGTTTACATCTAAACTGCCAAAATCTCTGATTTGGAGTATCCAAGTTTATCATCTAAATTCAGGGAGAAACATTAGTAATATTTCAGCAGTGTGTGTAAACAACTTTCCACATCAGGGGAGTGTTGTTAATAATTAGAATCTGACATGCTTTTCATTCTTATCTCTAACAGAATTGTTCCATTGTCTGCTTCAGTTTCCTTTTGAAATGAGATAAATGGGCACACCTTTTTCAGAACTAATTTAGAGGGTAATTGGCCACTCTCTGAATTATTTTTTTATTTTTATTTTTTTTGTGGAAATATTTGCCAATCTCTCTGGAAAGGCTTTCAACAATGTACAGTTTAAAGGCTTAAATTAAAAGGCTTGTAACAATTCTAATGCAATCTTCTTCATCTAACTGTCTTTATACAAGTTTGCCACCCAGTGGTAATAAAATTCCTTGTTTGCCAAATACATTCCCAATATAAGTTGTTGCTAATAGAAGCACAGCCTTATCCTTCCTGCAGAAGTATTAACCTGAAGATATCAACAAATGTATACTGTGGTACCAGCCCAGTTTTCAGTTAAATAACAGGGCTTTAGATATTATAATCAATGGTAACTTTGCAGATGTGGTTCAATCTTCATCAGACCTATGATCGTTTTGAACATAGTTTTATTTGATGTAAAGGTATAATTCTGGATCTAAAATATTGCATGTTCTAATGTCAAGCTTTATTGTACATTTTTCCCCAAAAATAATTGCATTAAAACACATATACGGGTGTTACCAGGAGTTGAAGCATATTTGGTCTAGAAGGTAAAATATATTGGACCACACTACCTTATATCAGGAATGGCAAATGTTTGATTTCTCTCCTGCAGAATGAGTATTTTGAATCCAAATGAGGTAGAAGGTTCTGCATGAGAATAGTTTTAAAATATTTATAATGTCTTTGCTTGTCCTCATTATTATCTAAATATTATTAAAAGTTTTGTGTGGAAAATGTTATGCTCCAAATCATATCACAAATGATTAGGCAATTTCAATCTTAGTTGTATTTACAGCTGTTAAGTTGGTTTGTGTGAAGAACGTTTCCCACAAGTAACTTGGTGTGAAGTTCATGATCGGAAATTGTGCTATAGTTGCATGGTTATTCTAAATATTGCACATGCAAGCACCTGCATGATCCAGAAGGCAAACATTCTGGTTCCAGCCAACATAGATGGAAGGTTATATGACTGTTTTTACATGAACACCATTCGTTCCTATAAGAAACATCAAGCTAAATGCATCCCTGCTTCTCATTGGTAAGAAACTGCCCAATAAAAGAATTTCATCAATAGGATTTTGTCCGACCAAGGAAGATGTTTTTTCTCTAGGAATATCTTGGTGTGCTGATGGCTTCATCAAGTTCAGCTGGAGTCAACATTTGGGGAGGAAAATCTGGATTTTAAATTAGCTCTTTAAGCCCAGTGAAACCTGGATTGGATTTTTTTTACTTTTACATTTTAAAAACTGCATGTCATCGTTTTTACATTTTCTACTTCATGTTGGTGAAAAACTGAAGTCAGCTTCAGGAACTGTGGATAGAAGAAGCTCCGATGACTCAAAAAAAATTATCTATAGAAGTTACAGGAAGCCACAGGCTCCTTACCTCTCTCCACTGCAACTAATTCCTCACCAGCTTTGCTTCAAAGCCAGTTCATGCATTATACACTAATAAACATTGCCATAGGAAACTCATAAGGAAATTCAAGATCCACAAAATGTACCGACATTTTATTTAAGTGAAAGAGAAAAGCTTCATAAAACTTTATTAAGGCTGGGCAAGGCATCAGAAAGGGGTACTTTGCCAAGTGCGTTAGTTTGATAAAAGTGTCCTCTTTTGAAGGATTGGCACAGGTCTTCTGAAGTCTTTCCCCTCTGGAATGTGTATTTATCAGGTCCAAGCCTAGAGATGATACAGCAGCATCCAATCATTCCTTTATTTGCTTACAGATAATAGACACTCTTGACAGACTAAAATTATAATCTAATCTACCAGATCCTGAGAGATTGTAGACTGTGACTAACCTGAACCCTAACCCTAACCCTTCCCACCTCCCACACCCAGCTTGGGGCTGTGCAAGCTTAGTCTGGGCCTCTCCCTGGAAAAACTCTGGGTTACCACAAATCTCCCCCATTGCTCCTCCAGGTGTGCATCCCATCACAATATGCACAGACAACACTTTCTTTGGGATTGCTGGCTAATCAAAGCAGCCCTGCACAAACCACATGCACACACTTGGGGAAAGTTTTCAAGGTAGCTCCTAGAGATCATGGTTGTTTTAATGCTTCATGGAGGAACCCTTTGCTTACATCAGCCATTTTGTAACGTGCACCTTCAAATCTTTTGCCATAACCATTGTACCTGTGACATTTGCTAAATGAATTAACTTCAGGTTCAGTAAGCAAATGTGCTCTCTTTTGCATATCCGAGTAGCTCAAGATTGGGCTGACAGGCAAATTGAATCATGGGTGGAGGTCCACACATAAGAATCAAAGTGTCTCCAGAGGCGGGAGGAAGATGGTCNTATTTGCCACTTGACAACAAAAAGGTAAGCCATCCCTGTAATAAGAGTTATAATGTTTTGTAAATATTTCCTCGTATTCTGTAAGTATTTGCCACCAAGTAATGGTTGGTTACATTTCTGCAGCTCAGATCCGATCAGCTCCTATAGCTCAACTAGCGACTTCCAGGAGTTATTACCAAACTATGTTTTGTGTAATAGAAAGGAAATTCTGTGTCTTATAAATAAGAGAAGCAATTTGGTCTAATCATAGTTAAGGCACCAGGTTAGAAAGCAAGAGACCATGAGTTCAAGTCCCGTTTTAACCACAAAAAACAGCTGGGTGACTTTGGACTAGTCACTTTGTCTGAGCCCAACCCACCTCACAGGGTCATTGTTGAGGAAGATGTGTTGGATATGTTTGCCACTTTGAGTTATTTGTAAAAACAATAGATAGGATGTGGTATTTGTTGATATATAATGTGGTATTTGTTGAATGCCCTATTCAATGAATCCCATTCAACCACATCAATAATGTGATATTCATTACCAGCTGGAGGCAGGAGGGAAGATAGTATTCCAAATTCCCACACACAAACAAATTAACATTGAATGCAAGGGTAAAAAATCTAAGATTTGTTCAACTTGAGACGTACTATATTATCCGCCCAGAGTCTCTCTGTAGGGAGATGGGTAGTTTCAAAATTCGATAAATAAAAGGAAAAAAAAATTCTCATCTGCCTACTGCTTGTATTTATTTAAAAGCAATTGATCACCCCTATTCGTAATTATAAACTTCTTGGGACTTGACAATGAAATAGTACCGGATCCTTTGTAGACCAGAAGCCCATTAGGTCCTCTGAAATCAATGGTGTCACCAGTCTTCATGGCGTCTAAGTGCTGGGACATCTTCCCACCTTCAGGAAATTTGGGGTGAACATTTTTGTGGTAAACCTAGAAAGAATATACACACATGCAATCATTGCAACGTTTTACAATTAAGTGACCATGATCTGCATTGGAAAAGATAATTCTATTTTGTACTGTTACATAAACATGAATTAGAAGCCGGAAAAAGCCACATTTTTCCTGTTTATGCTCTATAAAACAAATCCACTGCAGTGCTGAAGGCAAATAATTTTATCCTCAATAAGGTTACAAGAGTATTAACCTAGACTGTTATTTTTGGCCAATTACGTATTTTACCAGTTATTTATAGGCCCAGTTGTTTTAGACCCCAAAATTGGGAGCAAGTTACCTTCTCTATATAACTTATCCTAGCTAAACTATAAGCTTGGTCTTTAGAAATTCTTCTCTGTGGTGTTCTCACTACATATAAGACAGGAAAAATCTCTAAAGAGAAGCCCTTTTCAGTTATGGAACAGTTTCCTCAGAGAAATTCAACTGAAGATATATTAATGATCTTTTCACAGAAGAGAAAGCACCAATCTTTTGAAGAGCACGTACTCTAGGCTAAGCATCATTGTTTATAACTGGTCTTAAGTATAACTGTTTTATACTGCAGTGGCTTTTAATGCTAGATTTGTTTTGTGAGGTCTCAGAAAATGTGTGCCTCAAGGTAGTAACATTAATATGATAAATAAAAATGAATAACGTGATCAAGATTACTTCAGTGTAATTTTGAAAACATTGCTTACTAAGCTCTGGGTGATATTATTTCTTCATTATATTTAGGACAAGAAGAACTATTAACTCTGGGCCTTAATTTCAAATTAGACATAAAATACTTGCTTTTAAAAACTTTTTTTAAAAAAAAAATCAATTTCTGTCACATTCTATTTTTTGATACCCTGGTCTGTCAAGATCTAGTATCTCTTTTTACTTTTATCATGGAGAAAAGATTCCAATCAGAACTCCCCAGATTTTTTAGAATCCCAGAACCTATTTTACATTGTTTTGGCTGAGAAAATTAACAAAATTAAATAAGCTACAGAGAAATAGAGTTTTCATCATTTACTCATTGTCCTTCTCAGTCTCGGTGCTTTATCTCTAAAATAACTGTGCACAATATTCCAACCATATCTTCAAAGTTAATTTCTGGATATAAAATGTGGTGCATTGTTTGCTTTTAATTTGACTTATTATATAACTGGAATATTAGGGAATAATTTATTTGAGAAACATAGTAAGCAAAACTAAAACTAAGTTACTTGGTCAAAACATTATAAACCTACCTTTATTACTAAATCAACATATCCTTTTACTTCATCACTAGAAACTGGAGTATAAGCCCGAATCACAAGGTTACCACCAACTTTGGCAGAGAGGTATACATGTTGGCCTAGAGAAAAATAGTTATGGTTTAATTATTCCAAATTTATCATTATGGCATTAAAGAAGAAGGCAAATGATTTGGGATATCTTTCTAAACTGGATAACATCTGCAAATTTGGTAGAGAACACAATCCTTCTCATCCCCAGAGAGAAATATCAGTTATATATTTAATTATGTAAGAATGGGGAATCTCCTATAGTTGCGAAGATGGGTGAGTGGGGGAGAAGTAAATTCCCACTAGCTGATAAGAAAATAATATTTAGAAGTATACAAATCCCTGTGAACTTAAGATCCTGCAGAGGTGTGAATGTCATCATTCAATCTTATGAAAAAGTAGAAGACCACCAAACAAAACATGACATTAACTTCATGACAACAATTAGGAGCATGTGTTAATTAACTATGGCAGCGTAAATGGTATCAGAACTGCAGTGGGATTAACACATTGATAGGGAATTAACTGTTTTCTTCCCTAACTCAACTTCTTCTTCTAAGACATTAGTTTCGCAGATACAGGTTATGTTAAAAGATTGCATTAAAAAGCATGCCTGTTAAAATAAAATACAGGTGTAACTACAATCAAGCAGTTAAACTTCGACCTATTTTGAGTTGTTTCTGTCTTTTCCAAAAGTTAACCATGAGTCTATACCAGGAATGGATTCCAGCTTCTTTTACTGCCAGTTCGCTCAGGGATGCGCTTTGGGGACGCGCATGCGCAGAAGTAAAAAAAATTGCTTCTGCGCATGCACAGAAGCAAAAAACAAGATGGCGCCACCTAGGGTGCCACCAATAGAACTGGTTTGGGCATGTGTCCAGTTACTACTTACTTGCCGAAGTGGTCCGAACTGGTAGGAACCCACCTCTGGTGTATAACCTGAAGTCCTTCTGGATTGGACCAAGGAAAACAAAAGGAGGACAACCTTATGGCTTTCCCATCCTTTATATTTTGGTTTGCCATCCTAAATACCTGGATGACTTTGGAAAGCCTACTATTGCAAGAAGGCTAAAACCAATGCAGTGCTAGGATTCTACCTCACTGGAGACCTATTCTTATGCTAAAACATCTGCCTAGGTTCCTAACCTGTTTCTGGCTCAATATTCCAGCTTTTATCAGACACAATCAAAGAAATGAACATGAATAAATCCTTGTCATCTATGTCCTCATCATCTATTGTCTGTGCGTGTGCCTGAGTATGTTTGATTCGGAGGACCTGCCGGGGAATGCGGGGTGGTTGGGGGGACTATGCCCACGGGAGAGGGTCGGAGCATTGCGGTCATAACAGGGAGAGGCAGATACGGCGGGGACTTTAGGGCTGGCCATTATTAATATTGCTGTATTTTTGTAATACTTGAGAGACCGCCTTCTGCCGATTACCTCCCTTCGTCCCATCAGATCGC